AAAATTTCCATCAAAAAAGGGATTTTTTGTTGAAAAATGACCCTTTTCAAAAATGAAAAGTTTTGTAATCAACTGTTGACATAGTGAATTTTTGTTTTATTTTTTAATGAAAAAATTTCCTTTCATTTTTTGTCAAAGTTTAAATTGAAACCTTTATGAAAACCAATATTGAATTGTTTCCATTTACCAACATGTAGCATATTCACCCCAACTTAGAACCCTTAAAAAGAGAACTAAGTTTGATTTTTTGAAATTCTTCACTAATTAAAAAAAAATCCACCAGTGTTGTCCATCACTCTATATAACAAGCATGTTGTTCTTTATTCTGTAGTTTAATAAATTTTCAGCTATTGAATCCGGGGACAGAAACAATGTCATGTGCGTTGACCAACCAATCATACACCACAGATCATAAAAACACCGAAGTCGTTACAAATTTAAATATTGGATCTGCACTCACAATTTTGTCCTGTGTCACTAAGGTCTTGATCCTGCAGATGCTTTATGCACAAGCTTTCTTTCCTAGTGTGAGTAGTCCCATTAGAGTCAACTGGACTACTCAAAACAATAAAATTTAGCACATGAGTAATGATCTCAGGATGGGGGCCTAAATGTGAATTGCTAAAAGTAATGTCTGCATAGGGCCTGATCTAAAGCCCATTTAATTCAGTTGAAAGATGCTCAGAGATTCCACTGGGCTGTGGATATGAGCGGTGGGTATCAAAGGCAGGGGGAGGATGTGCCTCCCCAAACAACCTTGCGTGACCCCACCCATGCTCCATCCCCAGATCCCTTCCTGCTTCCTGGGCTGTGCTGTGGGGGGCTTTTCCCCCCTGTGGCCAGGGCCTCAGGCTGGGACTAGGGAGCTAATGGGGGCTGGCCTGCACTCTGGGGCTGGGAGAGGGAGACCACGCTGCCTGCCCAGCATGCTGACCGCCCTCCCTGCATTCTGGGGCTGGGGGTGCTCAGGCGGCCGGGGCCAGGGGCTGGCTGCTGCGCCGGGAGGGGGGTAGACTCCGGGGTCCAGCAGGAGTGGTGGGGCCTCAGGCAGAAGGGGCGGTCTAGGCCAGGGGCTAGCCTCCCTGAGCCCAGGGTTCACCCACCGCCCATGGCTGTGGAGGAGTACTCTAGATAGACTTTTAGGGACAGATTTTCAAAAGTACTTAGATTCCTAAAGGTGCAGTGAGGTTCCTTGTGGAAATGTTAAAAGTAGCTAAGCAGGTTATGTGCATAACTATCACTGAACTCAAAGGGATTTTGGTGCCTAATCTGCTGTAGTGCTTTTGAAAATCCCACTAAGCATCTATCTGCATCTTTAGAGACCCAAATATCTTAGAAAATATGACATTTTGGAGATCACATCTGATAGTTTTTCTATAAAAATTAGGCTCCTAGAAGCCAGATTTGTAATGGTATTTAAATGTGTATCTGAATCTTTAGGTGCCTAACTTCCTTTGCAATTCTGGCCCTGATGCACTTCTGAAAATTTTACCCAAATATAAAAGGTGTAAATGTAAAATTGAAACTAGGATTAAAGGAATAACAGCAAGAACAGTTACTACCAAAGGCAGAGCTAGATTTAGGGGCAGGCAACAAATGTGAGCACCGGGGGTGCCGTGCTTGGGGGGTGCCAGGGTTCGGAGTGCTGTTTTTGTTGTTAGCTAAAAATGGAAAACTGAATGTTTGAAGTAAAATGTTTCAGGTATTCTGTACACGGATTCATTTTTCACTAACCTCCTAGAATGTTCTGGACCTTTGTAGAATCGTGTGGAACCTTCCAGACATTCTGAGAGCTACATTTTCCATGAACCTCCTAGAATGTTGTCAGCCATGCCCTCGCAGGTATGTAAAGGGTGGGGTGTCACCAATCAGTCAGTGAGATATAAGAAGGAACTGAAATAAAGTGAGAGCCCAGTTGTGGTATTGTGAACCTTGTTTTATTGTGTAATTGTGAAAGTGTACTTGTGTTTTTAAACTTGAAGGATGTAAGTAGCAACTAATAAAGGACATAGTTAATGAGATCCCAGAGATATCTATTGAATTCTTATCTACACAACAATATAAAAAAAAATACTGTTACTTCTTTTGCCATGCTTAATACATAATGTTTGATGACTTTCTAAGATTGTGGAACATAGACTTTTGCTCTCCCTAATACTGTCTGTTTTCCCCTGTAGAAAATAAAATATGGCCCCTAAGAAGCCTTCAGTAGCTCAGTATAGGAAGCAAAAAGCTCAATTGCTATCTAGTTTGCAGTAAGGGGCAAATCTGATGGGGAAATATCTGAAACAGAACAACACAGACCAGGCTTTAGGCAGTACTGAAAGAAATTGAGGAGAAGTGCAGAAGAAATTTAGGAGCTAAGCGTAAATGATGGAAGTCCTATTACTAAGGAATTACCAGATTTACGTGAAAATAAGGAACGGAAATGTAAGGAAAGAGATGGAAAATCATCCAGTTTTCCTGGCAGTGTAAAGGAGAGTGATGATAAAAACCAATGTGGTCACATATAAAGGAGAGTAATGACAAAGAAAAATCTGGTTAACATGAAAAGGAGAGAAATGATAAAAGAAGAATCAACTTTGCATGATGACAGAACCAGCAGTGAGAAAATTTACACACCACAACTCGATACTGCTTTATGGCTGGTGATCCTAAACTCTGCCGATATTCATCATGCTATTTTGAACGGGCCGGGCAAAACTGAGGCTATGACATTTCCAGTAAATGAGCAGAAGTGACACTTCTCAAAGTCAGAATGCTTAAGAATGGTGAGAAACTGAATAGTTTAACTGAAATCAACTGACAAAGTGGTCTGTTTTTGTTGCAAAATATTAGACAAGAATGTCAAATCTTTGCTTCTGCTTTCCAGGTACAATTACTGGCACAACTTAATTGATGCTCTGAAGCAAGATGAAAAGTCACTTGGCCATTTTGCAGCCTACACCAAATGGATGGAGGTCAAGCACAGGCTAAAGCTGAATAAATGCTGAGACACAGAAAACCAGCACATTATTAATGTAGAAACTCAGCATTGGAGGAACATGCTCAAGCTTCTTATCTCAATTACCCTCTTTCTCGTAAAGAATAATTTGGCTTTCCTGGGCTCGTCAGATAAATCGTTCACTGAACATAATGGTAATTTCCTTGGTTTGGTAGAGCTCCTTGGGAAATATGACGATGTCATGCGTGAGCACGTAAAGAAGCTATGGACCATTTACTGCAGCAAAACAATTCAAAACAAATTGATTGATCTTATGAAAAGAAAGGTGTTTGACAACATATTGATGCGGCTCAACAACGTGAAGTACAACACCATAATAATGGACTGCACTCCCAACATTAGTCACAGTGAAAAGATGTCATTTACAGTAAAATTTGTTGATGATGAGGATGGCTGTATCCAAGTAAAGGAACACTTTATCTGTTTCCAGTCTGTGGACGACTCTACTGGAAAAGGCCAAACAGAACTGTTCATGAATGTTTTGAATTAGAATAAAATAAAGCTTTAGGATTCCCACAGCCAAGGATATGACAATGGAACAAACACGAAGGGAAGAAACTGTGGCATCCAGGCAGTGAGGTACCAAGTGACTGAGGTTTACGATGCCCTGTGAGGAACTGGAGCAGTTGAGTAAAGCCGAGTCTAGAATCTGACACAAGGTGTAAAGCCTGGCAAACCAGATCACCGACTTCAAATTTCTGGTTTTAATTGTGGTTTGGCACAATGTCTTGTTCCAAGCAATTGTTTTAAGCATGCATTACAAACTCAGTCGATGGACATCGCAATTGCTACTACTTTGATGAGAAGCTGCCTTGATTTCATTGTGGCCTACAGAGACAACGGATTTGAAGATGCCATCACTGCTGCCAAAGAAATGGTAGAAAACTTAGGAGTTGAGACTGTCTTCAAGGAAACTTGTATTCATCGGAAGAAGAGACAGTTTGGTTATGAGGGCAGAGATGAGATGATGGGAAACTCAGAAGAAAAATTCAAGAAGGAATTTTTTTGTTCACTTTTTGACACTGTTTGAAGTGTCCATCAAAGAAAGGTACGGACAAATGAAGCTTCATGAAAAGACCTGTGGTTTTTGAATGACCTTAATAAGTTGCCGGCAGAAAGGAAAACACTCTTGAACAATTATACGGACCTTTACCGGATGCTGACACCTGGGGAATGTTCGGACATCAATAATAAAGACCTCTATGTCAAATTGGACAATGTCCGTCACATTTTGCAACATGGGAAGCACTCTCCACCCCAACTTCTCTAATGGATACATGATGCACAGCTGAAGGACACTTTTTCTAATGTGTGGATAGCTTTAAGGATTCTGCTCACGCTTCCGCTTGCAGTCGCGAGTGGTGAGCTCAGCTTTTCAAAGCTCAGGCTCATTAAAATTATCTTGGATTGATGATGGCAGATGAGAGACTGACATCGTTTGCTATTTTATCACTTGAAAATGCCATTGGTTATTCTTTGGATCTCTCTGATGCTATACTTCAGTTCGTGAGGGTCTAAGTGAGAAGAGTGACCTTTTGTAGTAAAGGATTAGGGTTAACATTCTAAGGCTGTCACCTCCTGTAACACTGTGTAATACTGGTCCACCCAATATTGGCACACAGTTCAATTTCTTGAATTTAGTCCATTTCAGTTACTCTTAAAATTAAAAATTTTCTATGAACTTAGAGTAAATGAATTTCTTTATTTGTGTATATATGGCATGAATAAATACAGATTTGCAGATCCTAGCATGCACATTTATCATCTTATATGACAGGGATAAATCATGCATGCAAACCATGCATCAAAGTTGTGAAATGGACTATAATTGCACTAAAAAATAAGGTATTCAAAAGTTTAACAAATGGGGGGGAGGGGTGCTGAAGACACTCCTCACCTGAGACACCATTTGTTCTAGTGCTGGCTCTGACCAAAGGGAACATGAGCACAGGTTGAGAATCAGGCCCAGTAAGATCTAAACCATTCAAAAACAACTTCATGTCCCACCAAATACCTTCCATAAAGCATCCTTCACCTCTTTATTTCTCAGAGTGTAAATGAAAGGGTTTAACAATGGAGTGACAATAGTGTTCAAAGTGTTGACAATCTTGTTCATTTCTAAGGAGCTCTGTTTGGAAGGCCGGACATAGAGGAAGATGGTGGAGCTGTACCAGATAGTCACGACAATAAGATGGGCCGAGCAGGTGGAAAAGACCTTTTGCCGGCCTTGAGCCGAGGGGATCCTCAGTACAGTGGAGATTATGTAAATGTAGGAGACCAGCATTATGGAACATGTTCCTAGGATGACAATGATCGAGATGAGGAAAGCTGTCATCTCAATCACCGAGTTGTTTGTGCAGGAGAGAATGATCAAGGAATCTATGCTACAGAAGAAATGATTGATGACGTTAGAGCTGCAGAAGAATAACCTGGCTATCAGAGATGCTGAGATAGAAATAGCCAGAAAACCAGACATCCAAGAACCAAGGGCCAGCTGAGCAGACTTGGTGCTGTTCATGATGGTTCTATAGTGCAATGGGTAGCAAATGGCCAGATAGCGGTCATAGGCCATGGCAGACAAAAGGAAATACTCTGTGCAACCCAGGGAGAAAATGAAGTACATCTGCAGGATGCAGCTACCAAAGGGGATGGTTCTGCTTTTCCCCAGGAAGATTGCAATTGTCTTGGGGACACAGGCTGTGGTGTACCATATCTCCAGGAAGGAGAGGTTGCAAAGTAAGAAGTACATGGGGGTGTGGAGATGATGGTGGGCCTTCACTAGGACTATGATGGCAACATTTCCTGCAACTGTCAGGATGTACATCATGCTAAACACCACAAAGAGAGATATCTGCAAATATTGACTGCCGGGGAATCCCAGGAGGATAAATTCCTGTATCCTGGACTGGTTTTCCTTCTCTATTCCAGTCACAGGCTCCATCTGTCAAGATACAAGAGATCATAATTCAGGGGCAGTTTTGTTCCATGGATTGTTGGACATCACAAGTAAAATTTTCAAAGGTTCCTAAATGATTTAGAAGCCTAAGTCCCATTACAAAATCACATTAGTTGCTTAGGAGCCTAAGGGCTAGAGATTAAAAATGTTTAGATGCCAACGTTGCAGATTTACAAAAATGCTTAATAAGCAGGTTAGGACACTAATCTGGTTAGCTGCTTTTGAAAATCCCACTAAGCATCTATTTGAAGCTTGAGACACCTAAATACCTTTGAAAATCCAGCTCTAAAAGATGAAAGCTCTTTTGAAAATTGGATTTAGGCTCTCAAGTCACTGAGGGCCAGATTGCAAAGGTATTCAGGCATGTAGTGGGATTTTCAAAAACACCAAGACACCTAAACTCATTGTTTGCATAGATTTATAGATTCCAAAGCCAGAAGGGACCATTGTGATCATCTAGTCTCACCTTCTGCATAACACAGGGCATAGAACTTCTCCAAAATAATTGCTACAGAAGATCTTTTAGAAAAACACCCAATCTTGATATAAAAATTCTCAGTGATGGAGATTCCACCATGACTGTTAGTATCCTTCTAGTTGTTTAATCAAAATGTCATGTAGTACCAAGTCAAATTCCATAGAGAAGTCTATTATATCAACACTATTATGTTTATCAATCACAATTGTAATGTCATAAAAAATGATACCATGTTAGTCTGACATGATCTATTTACCATAAACCCATGTTAAATGACATTAATTATATTAGTTTATTTCTTTATTAATTGAGTTCCTTATCAGCCACTCTGTTATCTTGCCTGGGATCGATATCAGGCTGACAGGCTTATAACTACCTTGGTCCTCCCATTTGCTCTTTTAAAATATTGGCACAACATTAGCTTTCTTCCAGTCTTCTGGAACTACCCTGGTGTTCCAAGGCGTATTGCAAATCAACAGTAACTGTCCAGTGAGCTCCTCAGCCAGCATTTTAAAAACTCTTGGATGTGAGTTATCTGGATCTTCTTCAATGCTTAGCGAAATGGTTGGCCGTAGTGATCGTTCACCATTTGGTCCATACCGCTGCAGCTGCAAGGGCTTCACAGCCCGAGAGTCTAACATCAGAAGAGACTTGATGAACCCATGTAATAGGAGGGCTGCCTCTGGGCTGCCTCCACCCCTCGATTGGTGGAATTTTATCCCAACGCTTACAAGCCACCCGAACAATGGCGTTCACCGGAACATCTTGTGACATTCTTGTGACAAAAGTGTAAGACGCTATCTGCAGACAATGGCCCTGGTAGTCTGTAGACAAAAGCAACCATAAACATCTGCATTACAAATAATGTCCAATATACGACATTGGCATTTTGTGTAGAAAGCCTCCAACTTTGCCCAGTCTGTGTGGCATAGTGTCCATGTTTTGCTGACGTACAACAGTACAGGGAGGATACAGGTCGAATAGATCCTGAACTTGGTTGTCATGCTGAGGTGATGTTGATTCCATGTTGTTATCTAGATCTGCTGATTTAAAAATGTCTAATTTTAGTAGATTCTGTTTAACATCCTCCTGAGATAGGAGCGGATTTTAGTGAGTTTTAGGCACCTAGATAATCTTGAAAATCCCACTGGGTGCCTCAATACCTTTAAAAGTCTGGCTCTTAGCTACTGTTAGAAATGTTATCCCACCCCACGTGGTGACCAAATTCATTTTCCACAGATTTTCTGAACATCTGGAGAAGCAAAGTGTTAAATCCTGTGCTATCTACACAGTCCCCCTGATGAGAAACAATCTCTTCATCAATGAGTGGACACATCTTTCTGTAAGGAAATAGTAGCCTGAAGGAAATCCAGGACTCAGCGGGTGAAAACCAACACACTGAATTGGTTTTCCATCTCTACCCAAGTCTCGAATTCTGTCGGTCACAAGAGATGTTCATGGAGTGAAAGAGTTAAAATGCATTATTGGATGTTCCTTGAATGTTCAAGTCAGAATCCTAATGCCTGAATAATTATTACCACCTACCCTATCTCCCTAAACCTCAGTCAGCTACTACTTCCAACAAGCGTTTGTCAAGAAACAGGACAAGGGAAGGGAAGGGGATCATGATCATTTCATCCTTTTTCCCATTGACATTTAAAACATTGATGGCACTTTTGATCTACTAATTGTTCATTCCATCTTCAGCCCATGCTCTTCCTTGTCAAAAGGCCCTTCGTGCTGTTAGCTGGGATTTTCAACGATGCCTTAGAGAGTTTGGTACCCAATACCCATTGAACTCCATTAGGTTATGGACACATGGACTCTTTGGAAAATCACTGATGTGCAAATCCCATTTTAATAGCTCTACAGAATTTAGCATGAAGAAGAATAGGAGGGAAAATATCCCAGTTTCCCTGAAAATTTCCTTTCTTCTAGTATTACGGTAAATGGATCAGTCCCGTCCTCAGTTTTTTTCTCCTTCATTAATCTCTGCTGTGCTCTGTGGCATGCAGGATTTGTCTTTGTTCCTTATAGGCTCTATGATGAACATTTTACACTGGTATATTCCAAGGCAGAGAATCATAAACTCTAATTCCAGAACAAGAATGCAAAATTTGAACTCCTAACCTTTCCTCCTAAATCCTTCCTGACTCTCCAACTTATTTCAAAACTGAGCTAACATTCCCAACACCAAGCTTTGAAACACTGGGGTTATTTTTGTGTCTTCTTCTTCGCACATGACCATGATGTTTGTCTTTGGTGAAGATTTTCAAAGGCAAAGAGGGCCGTGTGGCCCAACTCCCACTGAAAATCCTTTGAAAATCTCCCCCTTTGTATCTAACATTTAAACTGATTTTACATTTTGCCCAGGATCAAATTCTAACAATCAAGGAACAAACCTCATGACTAGGCTTGGAAGGATTAGCTTGGTACTGATAAATGTTGGCAAATGTTGATGTCACCATGCTCACATAAAGTGATGAAAACCTATTTCCATCAATAATACTTAAAATTCACAGATAGGCAAAGTAAGAAAAATGCTTTGAGAACATATTAGAGTCAAAATCCAGGGATTTAGACTTTTCAGTTAGGTTTGTTAGAAATGGACTAGTGAATGAATGGTAAAAACAGGTCTGAGCTGTTGAATGAAGGATATTTACTTTCTCTATTTTGACATGTAATGTTAACAATTTGTGTTTCAATGGTTTATAGACATTTCACTTTTTGAATCTCAGAGTCTACTGTCATTTCTCAGACAGTCTCCCCCACCCCATAATTTTGTGCAACTATGAAAATTTAAATTAAAAAAATGGAAAGAAATGCGTTAAATATTATATTATTGATATTACTCATCAAAATTAGAAATAATAAACATAACATTCTGCCAAGCCTATTCATGACATATTAACATGTAAGTGAGAACGGAACAAGAATTTCATATAGATTTATGTACCAGACAGTGCTTAATTGACGATGCTCATTAATTATAATCCCAAGCTTTTGTGCAGGAGATCTGAAAGCATTTTACAAGTGGGTTCAGGATCATTATTCCCATTTCACAAAAGAAGAAATTATAAACCAAAAATAATGTCCCTGATTTTGCAGTGCTGGACAGAGGCACATTCCATGCTCAGCTGAGATGGAAATACAATTTTTCCCTGAAGGATAAATGATTGATTGTCATGGTGCAACGGGATTTTCAAAGGATATTTGAAAGCAATTAAAAATGCAAATCTCATTGTTATTCAGTGGAATGTAGATGCCAGATTCCCATAGACCCTTTTGAAAATCCCACCCATATTGCTTATCCTCCTTATTCTAATCTGAGATGAGTTTGGCAAAGATAATAATACTTTATACTTCTACACCTCTTTACATCTTCCACTCATGAGCTATTTCATTCTACAATGGGCTGGAAAGTACTGCCCTTTGTAGCTGTGACTTCAATGCTATTTGAAATGGGCCCAATGCCCCTCTGTAGTAAATATTAACCATTATCAATCCTCTGCTATATAAGGAGAAAATAGGGGTAAAGGATCTTGGCCAGGGATGCATCGGAAGACAGGGTGAAAGCCCGGAAGCAAGATCAGGAGCTAGTGCCTTCTAATGCCCTAATTACCATTATTATAGAGGGCTTCATCTAATAACAGAGGAAGTCAATGGTTCTCTTTCCGTTCACTCTAGTAGGCTTGGGAAGAAACTCATGGTGCTTTTTCATTTGTAGACCTCAAACCACTTCACTAAGGTGAGTGAATAGTATTATCTCATTTATTTACAGAAGGGGAAACTGAGGCACAGATGGTTTATACAAATTTCACACAGTATATCACTGACAGTGTTGGGACAAACTCCAACTCCTTATTTCCCATCTACCAAACCAGGCTATCACTGAGATTTCAAAAGCTGTCAGGGATTCTGGGGCTGAGTGGAATTTTTCAAAGCAGCTAGGTGCCTAACACCCATCAATGATTTTTGGGTGCCTAGATGCTTCTAAATATCTCATTAGGTGCCTAAATACCTTTTAAAATCTGTATTTAAACAAATACATTCCCATGAATAATGAATGAGGAGTGGGCATCCATGTAGCAATTGTGGCTACGAAAACCTCAGTCTACCTCTAAGAGAAAATAGGCAATCCATTTTTACATTCTTATCTATGTGACTCAGGTGACAATGTGACTCAGCAGTGAGTTCCACAGATCTATCATATAGCTATTTTCTCTTATGCACTCAAGAGTTGAAAAATATGAGTGAAAGACAGAAAGGGAGAGAGAGAGAAAGAGAGAGAAAGAGCGAGAGAGAGAGAGAGATGGGAGTATGTTACAGATGTACCAATTACTCACTGTGGGAAACCTTTTCCTTCCAACAAGATATGGCCCAGTAGGTCACATCACCAAATATAGAAAACATAGTTATTAATACACTTGGTTTAAAGTATATTTCTGGGGTGTGTTCTCTCCCTCTCTCTCTCTCTAGTGGACCTAGATTATTAGCTTTTCATGCATTATCTTCTCTTCTTAGAATGCAGCGTTCTTGGATTCTGAGAAAAAATGCATTGAAAGTGAGGGTGCCATATTTTTCCTCCAGTTATAAATCAAACATTTCAACATCTTCCTACTTATTGCAGATATCAATATTCATTAGAGTCTCATTCCATTACCAGTTCATCATCACCCTGCCGCCTTTCCCCTTACCTGCTTTGTTTATGTATGGCAACTCAACAGGTCTTACGAATAAGCCTACTTTATATTCCTCAGAAGTGCCCTTGGGATTTGGTCTCAACAGAATTTCACTGTCTTCTTCTAGTGCCAACCGCCTGACTTAGTAAGGATGATGTCCTTGGTTAAAGAAGAGCAGTGGGAGTTAGGAGACCTTGGTTCTGTGTCTCCATTGACTTGCTGATGGACCACTGTGTAATTGTTTAAGTTCATTGTTCCTCAGTTTCTCCATTTGTAAAAGACAAAAGGCCGTATTTTTAAAGGTATTGAGATGCCTACTGGAATTTTCAAAAGCATCTAGGAATCTAAAACCCATTCATTTCTGTGGGTGTTAGGTGCCTATGTACTTTTGAAAATCCCATTAGATGCTTTAAAAATCTGTCCCTAAGTGGCTGCCCAAAGTTAGGCAACTACATCCACATTTAGGCAGCCTAATAAGTGGTGTAAGATACAGTAGTATAAAGCACCAGAGGCCAGATATTTAAAGGCATTCAGATGCCTAAAGATAGGCAGATAGGTACCTAGTGGGAATTTCAGAAGTACGTATGCAGTTTAAGCACATAACTCCCATTTAATTCTATGAGATTTAGGTGCCTAGGTCTTTGAAAATCCCACTAGACACTTAATTCCCTTTGAAAATCCTAAAACACTTTGGTGCTTGTAAAAAATTTACCTGTAATCTACACAAAAAAGTTATACTGACATAATGAAAGGTGTGTTTTTATACCAGTTTAGTTAAAAGAGTGCAACTTTGTGTGTGGGCATTATTATATTGTTTTCAACCTCACTTATATCAATTTTCAGGTGCAAACTGAATGAATATAACCAGTTTTATACCTAAGGATCCACAAACAAAGGTACAAGAATTGCATCGGATTAACTAAACATATTTGAGTTAAACTGCTGTGTCTTCTCTGTATAGACAAGACCAAGGGCCAGATTTTTTAAAGCATTTAGGCACCTAGTGGAATTTTCAAACTTCCTAGTTGCCCAACATCCATTGAAATCAATGAGTATTAGGTGCCTAGGTGCTTTTGAAAATCCCCTTAGGAGTCTAAATACCTTGACAAATCTGGCCCTCGGTCACTTTTGAAAATAGGATTTATGGTTAAATTTTCAAATGCAGCTAATTGACTAAAGAGCCAATGAGACGTAAGCTCCTAAGTCACCTAGGTGCTTTAGAAAATTTTGCCCTAAGGCTTCTCAGGGCTTTTCTACCTGGCACTGCAATGCACATCATGGAGGTGTGAATTCTAAAGCTTAGTAGCATGTTGCACACTAATTGGTCCAGGTAGACCCTGCTGGTGTGCACTAGATGTTCCCTAGTGTGTTTTAATGTAGTACATTTTGAATCCTATGGACTTCAATAGAAGTTAGACACTGACATGCTTTTGAAAACCTGGCTAGGTACCTATTCGCCTCTTTAGTAACTCTATGGATCTCAGCCCTAATACTTAGCTGTCCAGTTCCATTAGGTTGTCATTGTGCTCATGAAATCCTGAGCTGGTCAGAGTATTTGTCATCCACATGGGTGTGAAAGTTACCAAGCAATATCAGGCATAATCACGGTAAATACAATGATAATTTCCTAGGTTAAGGACAAAATAAAATTTAAGTAAGGGATAACATAATTGCTGAAATTATGCACCTGATCTTCCTTCCCCTTACAGAGATATAGGCTGGCATTTTCAAAGGAGATTAAGGGAGTTAGGCGCCCAAATCCAATTTAAATTAATGTGATTTGGCACCTAAATTCTTTTAGGCACATTTGAAAATACCTGTCCAATTTTCCAATTGATTTAACTGAGGTAGGACTAGACCCTGAATCAGAAGCTACTCCCCATAATAGTGTAAGACATGCAAGAGAAGAATCAGGATATGTGACTCGATAGACCCTCAATTCCGTGTAAGACTCATAATAAAATTACTAGGCTTGGCAACATGGACACCCCATTTTAATGGTAGGTCTGAACTCTTAAATGTACATCAGCTGCCAAGATGAGAGCAATTGTGTTTGTGGATAAAATACAGAAGTTGTCACTTGTTCCAGTCCAGAGCCAGTTGCCAGATTCTGTACTCGTTAGGGTGAAAATCAACCTGCATGGAGAAGGACTTACATTACGCCTAACCCTCAAAGTAAAACTTAAGAAGGTCTTCAGTAGTGTACTGTGTGAATTCAATTCCTCATGTCAGCATGGGCCACAGGACCAAAGATAAAGGTTGATAGAGTTCTACATTGATATAGAGAGTTGATGACCTCTGTGATATGCGTGGCAAGGAAAAGACGGCATGGAAAGCCTTCCAGTTAGTGGCAATAAATTTTCTCAGAAACAACAAGGGCAGACAACTACAGGTTGTTGGTGGAAAACCTCCTCAAGGCATACAAAAGCCTTGGTTGCAACATGTCACTAAAGATACATGTTTTGCACTCTTATCTAGATTTTTTTCCACTGAACTGCGGAGCAGTGAGCGACGAGCACGGCGAGCGATTTCACCAGGACATTGCAACAATGGAGAAAAGCTCTCAGGGCAAATGGGGCCCATCAATGATTGCAGAGTATTGCTGGACAGTGACAAGAGAGGCTCCATTTAATGAATACAAGAGACAAGCCAAGAAATGCCAAGTAGACACTGAATAGGACTAAACTATGTACATAATAGTTTTTTGCCTTTTGTTTCATAATAAATTTTATTTATATAACCCTTTTGCTGATTTTTAAAGTGTTACATAAACAGGACAGGTGAAATATTATCATGTAAAGCAACCATAAATACATGAAAAGACCTAGGTTTACAATTTATGATTAAAACTCTACTATCTACACAATATACATAGACATAAAATGTAAAAACTTAAATATCTTAGAAACAGTAGCCAATCAGTTGTTTTAATTGTCATATTTGAATTCAGCACATCAAAATACATAATAAATAGCACATTTTATCTCTGAAGCAGACAACTTCTCAAAAATTGTAGACCAGTGTAATATTTAAGCTAAATTAACTGGCTTTAGCCTAGGCTTTGCTTGACATGAGTGTTGCTTGCAAAATGCGTCCTTATGTAGAGACTTCTTTAAATAATGCTTATAGCTGTTGTGTAAGACAAAGATGATGTTCTATACTGTGTTGAAGGACATAGATAAAAGGAGGTTAATCAGTACAATAAAATACATAAAATGTAGTGACAAAAAATCCCTGTATTGGGAAAAAACCAGAAAAGTCCCTATATTGAGTGGTAGGATCAAAGAAAATAAAACAATTGGAAAAGGGACATGATGACATGAAATTAGCATGGACAAAAAAAGTTATGTAAACTGAAGCCTGCCTATGCATATTCCATGGGATATGTAAGACACAATGCTTAATGTTGATTGGATGGTCAAATAATGTGTAAAGATTGTGACAGGGTCAGGCCAGATGGCTACAGGAGAGTGTTCCAGGGCATAGAACAGGGTCGCCAACCCACCCTGACGGGCCAAAAGGTGGCTAAAGTAGACCCTGTCCTCCCACTCCAGCTGCCAGCTCACTTCGGCGGCTGGATCTGTGTGGGTCTCCTGCAGGAAAATAACAGAGTACCCCCCCTCCTGAAGGAAGGAGAGCACCTGGCACCTGCGGAGACCCGAACTACAGCCGTGGATGTTCAAAGTGGCAAAGACGGACGGCGACATAAGGAGGGCTGGGGATGATCCTCCCAGTCTGGGGCACTAGCGGCACCCGTCGGACCCCGCAGCAAACCGTGACCAACCCCAAAAGCCAGCAGGGCATCACGGAAGCTGCGGGCCCGCTGGTAAGCTGCAGCATCCCACTTCCCGGTCCCTTTGCCTTCCCCCATAATGGCCCTCATGGTCTGGAGAACAAGATGGAAATTGCCCCAGCACTGAAGAGCGAGATGCACTCTATTCATGGAGCCACGAGTGTCTTCCAAGAAAGAGGGCATCTCGCTCCTCTGCGTGGCAGGGACTGGGGTCATGGACCCCGGGGCGTCCCCTGATTGGACCCCCCTGCCAGCCCCGTGGCCCAGCGAGACGGGCAGGCAGGAATCAGAGCACCGCCGCGGCTCCTGTCCGTCCGGCACCGTGCCACCCGACACAACACTTGGCCCTAGGGACGATGGCGAAGGGAGAACTGCAGCCCCTGATGGGCCAGAAGAGGAAAACACAGAAACCGCCTCCTGGGGGCCTCCATAAAAAGAAAATGAGGCAACCCCAGGGGCGGCAGCAACAGGAGGGGGGAAGGAAAAGAGGTTAAGGACAGGAACAAGGGCTGGAACAGGGACAGGACACAGATCTAGGATGGGAGCAGGGTCAGGGCAGGGAGTGGGGACAAAATCTAGGGCCTGAGTGGCAGAGCCTCCGGGGCACAGTGCCTCATGACCCGACACGGTAGTTAAAGGGGCAGCAAGGGAGTGGGACGCCTCCACAGCGCTAGGCTCAGGTGCCCCACTAAACACGGCACCCACGATTACAGCACTGGGGGAAGGCGAGAGCTGTGGCCCTGCCTCATGGGGTAGGGCACCCGTGGGCTCAGAGCCTGGCCGCTCGGCGTCGGCCGTCGCCACAATGGGCACAGCGGCATCAGCCAGATTACCATTCGCGGCCGGGCAGATGGACATGGCCCGGGGCATTGCAGAGGCCAAAATGGGGGCAACCACCTGAGGCGGAGGGAAGGGGAAAAGGGAGGGGCACCAGAGAGCAATCACCCTTACCAAGGCCTTCTAACAGGGGGGCATCCACTCCCTCAGTGGTTGGGGTCAAGCCCAAGGCCTCGATCTCAGCAAAAATAGAGGCAAAGTCCCCACCTGCCTCTACAGGTTCCCCCTCAACAGCAGCCGGGGCAGTAGCCTTTGCGACGCCTACAGCGGGCACAGATGGCAACGGGGCAGCGAGGGTGCCGTCCATAACCCCCTCAGGGAGGGACTCCATAGGAGAGGTGGTACTACCCGCCTCCGTGGCTGCAGTGACCTCGGCCGACTCCAAATGATGAACATCATAGAGGAGTCAACGGAAGGCTGAGCACCAGCAACCCCCTTCATAGTTGTACAGGGGGTCCCTTCCCCCTCGCCAATGAAGGGGACGTGCTGGGCCCGAGCTCCCCGCTTGCGGCGTCTCCCGCGCACAAGCTCCCAGCTCCCTGAACAGGAGGGCTGGCCAGCTGGGTCACGGCCTGGGAGTGAGGGCAATGACGGGAGGGTAAGGGAAGACAAGGGCAGGACAACAGGGAAAGGGACAAACTCCCCCTGAGGCAAGCCCCGCTCGAGTCCCGCTACCGCCCCTGCCACCCTCTCCTCCACGGGCCTCAGTCTACTACCCACCTCAGCGGCGGGGCGCGCACACTCATCTGGGCACATCGGGGGGGCCTCCCCCAAGACCCGAGCGGAGTTGACAACGGTCACAGATGGAGAAGGGGTGACCCCAGGGACTGGGTGATCAGGGCCACCAGCAATGATAGAGCCGACGCCCTTCTGGGTATCGGGGGTCCCAGATGCCCCTCCAAGCCAGGCCAGGGGGCAGTCCCTCCGGACGTGCCCTGTCGCCCGGCAGAGAAAGCATCAGGCCACCCCCGAAGAATAATAAACCCGGTACTGGGCCCCTCAATGGGGCACCAGAAAGGACCCCTCCAGAGCCTCCCCATCAAGTGCTGCCGGCGGAACTTGAACCTGCACCTGCCGGCGGAATGACAAAACGTGGCGGAGGGCGAGGTCCTTACAGCTCAATGAAAGGGGGCTGAGGACGGACAGGGGCCTCCCCAGGGTGGAGAGGAATGGCAAAAGGGCAGCATTGGGGAGGAAGGGAGGAACAGAGGAGAAAACCACCCATACGCCCAGGTCCTCCAAAGGCTCGAGGGGAATGTGAATGTCCCCCACCGCCAAGCCCCTCTCCACCGCCTCCTGGGCAGCGGCCCCCAACGCCAGGAAGAACACCACCTTCCCCAACATCTTAGAGGACGCCACCACAGCCATGGGCCCCACCACCCGCGCCAACACCCACACGTAGGTTTCTACGTGGGGCGAGGCTGGCACCAGGAGGCAACGCACCCCGTGCTCCCTGGTGAGGGTGGGAAAGGGGCCCCGGCCACCGGGAATGGCATTCCGGGAGGCGGCTGGAGCAGATGGCAAGGCGGTGAGCAGAGGGGTCACAGCCACCTGGGCATACGCCCTGGGGGCCGAGGGAGTGGCACCCCCAGAGCTGGTGGAGGGAACCATGGGCAAGGGAGAAGGGGGAGCTGCGGCCGTTGATGGGACCGCAGCAGGAGAAGGAACCACAGTCACAGGGGGTTTCACCTTCTGGGCAGGGCCCTTGCCCTTCTTAGTCCCCCGGCCCTTCCCACTGGCCAAGGGAGCGGTCCCAGAAGTGGAGGCGGCCGAGGTCGTGGCAGCAGCAGCGGAGTCTCAGGAGCCCCTATCCATGCGCACCGGTGTCTCAATGGCAATGATGGCAGGCAGCCCGGCAGTGGCAGTCGAGGCAGCCATCGCAAGGGAGGGTGTGGGGAGGGGGACTGAAAGGGAACTGCAGGGGCAGCCAGGGAAGTCCCACCCCCTGAATCACCCACCACAGAAAGGGAAGGAAGGGGACAGCTGCTAGGGCAGGGAAATAGAAGGAAGGAGAGGGAGGAGTGGGAGGGAAGGGAAGGGGGGAGAACGGCTACCACACCCAACCCACTAGGCTGAAAGCAGGGTGGAGGGGCACCAACAGAAAAGGACAAAGGAAGCCCCTCCACAAAACAAGGCCTCCTTTACTCCCTCCTCAGCTCCAGCAGCTTTAACATCTCCCCAGCAGCAGCAGCAAGGGCAGCAGCAACCCAGCCAAGGGAGGCCCCAAAAATGATGGAAAAAGTGGGGCCTCACACTCCCCTCTGAGGGTCACACCAACAGGGTCTCCCCACAGCAGCAGCAGCCAGGAGGACAACCGGCCAGGAGAACAGCCTCAAAAGAGTGGAAGACAGGTATCTCAGCCTGCAGAACCAGCAAGTCCCTTTTCCCTGGGTAAGGGAACAGGAGCAGTTCCAGAACAAGCAGGAATTTGCTGGAACTAATTAAGGCAGGCAGGCTAATTAGGACACCTGGAGTCAATTAAGAAGAAACTGCTAGAATCAATTAGGACAGGCTGGCTTATCAGGGCACCTGAGTTTAAAAAGGACCTCACTTTAGTTTGTGGTGTGCATGTGAGGAGCTGGGAGCAAGAGGAGCCAAGAGTGAGAAGGTGTACTGCTGGAGGTCTGAGGAGTACAAGTATTATCAGACACCAGAAGAAAGGTCCTGTGGTGAGGCTAAAGAAGGTGTTGGGAGGAGGTCATGGGGAGGTACAGGGCCGGCACCAGGCACCCAAGCTGGTGCTTGGGACGGCACCTGGAGGGGGGCGGCGTGGCGCTCTGGCCGCCGGGGAGAGCGGGGCCCCCGCCGGGGCTCGCCGCCCTGCCCCCGGCGCTCTGGCCGCCGCGGGGAGAGCTGAACCCCCGCCGGGGCTTGCCGCCCTCCTCCCAGGGCTCGGGCCGCCCTCCCCTCCGGCGCCCTCCCCTTGGCCCCCGGGGGGAGAGCAGAGCCCCCGCCGGGGCTCTGGCCGCCCCCCCCCCCCCGGCTCCGGCCGGCTGCCCCCCCCCGTGGGGGTGGGGGTGGGCGGCCGGAGGCTTTTTTGCCTGGGGCGGCAAAAAAGCCAGAGCCGGCCCTGGGGAGGTAGCCCAAAGAGTTGTAGCTGTTGCGCAGCTGTTCTAGGAAGCACTCTAGACAGCTTCAGTCCACAGGGCCCTGAGCTGGAACCTGGAGTAGCCTGGGTTCCCCCGAAACCTCCCAACTCCTGATCCAACACAGGAGGAGTTGACCTGGACTGTGGGTTCCACCAGAGGGGAAGGTCTCTGGGCTGTTCCCCGACCCACATGGTGGATCAGCAGAGGCTGTGGGGATTGTTCTCCTTCCTTTTCCCCATGCTGGCCGGTGATGAGGGTTATCTGAGTAAAACAGCAGATTTGAGCCACGAAAGTGGCCAAACTGAGGGCTGCCATGAATCTCTGAGGCAAGCAAATCTGCCAATAAGCGCAGGACCGACCAAGGTAGAGGAGGAACTTTGTCACAAGGTATAAATATGATAGCGTATAGGGGAATAATAAGAACCCTGTAGGAAAAATATATCATGACTATACCCCAGAAGAAGGTAATTGGACAATATATTTTTCTGTATATATGTCATTCATTGTTTTTATAGTAATTGTAAAGTGCAAGGCCTTGCTTTTTGGTTCAAATAAAGATGTGATTTAATAAACCTGACTGTCTCAGTCATGAGTGTATGGTAATCCTCTCCAAATGCTAGTCCTTCAAAAAAGAAAAACTGTAAGAAGCCACATGCAGAAGCAGTTATGGGAACAGCCTGACCTTAGGAAGATTCTTCTATTAGTACAAGGAAATGTGAACAAATGTAATGCATAGTAGCAGAGGTGAGCCGAACAAAATGCTCAGCCACCCATGACTCGCAGCATCAGGAGTGGGGGAATAAAGACTTTACTTTCAGTGTTCTTGGTTCTTATCCCTTACTTTCCTTTGAAAACCCCAGCCAACACTCTTTGTACAGAATTACACAGTGAAACATCAACTGTATGTCCCATATACTTAAAGGCCCACCCATAATTAATTTATTACCAGAAATGCTAGATATTTTTAGAATGTTCATTGAAATTTGAAAATGGCAATGAAACACACCAAAAATAAAGTGACCACATTTTAATTTGTGACCTGTTGTAGAGTTAGTATTTTTTAATTGCAATTTTGGTGAAAAATATGTTTTTTTTTTTTTTAAACCAGCTCTAGTTACTATCACACTTCAGATTCTTTTAATTTACGGAGCCCCAAACAACAGCAACAAGAAAATCAACACTCTAGCTTAGATTTCACCATTTGTGCCATTTATGTACTTTGCATTTTTCACTCAGTTGGGACAAGGAAAATTCACTAATCAGTTCCTCTTCTGGTTTCTTATCAGACCCATTTTGTGACAATCATGCCAAACTGCAGTAAAGCCTGACTTTACAAGCACTTATGTGTATGTTGTGCCTCACTTCACTCATGTGAGTGAAACCATTCACTTCAACAGAATCACTCATCTGAGTAAACATATGCATTTTTATTATATATATGTGCATGTTTATATATGTATTAACTGTTTGCAGAACCAGGGCATTAGCTGTTATTCATAGGATATCATTCATACCAAAATGAATGGTTTCTATTGAAGAGGGAGAAAATATAATTAATTGATTGTCTGTATTGATTAGATTGATAAATATTTAAAGCTGGGATTTTCAAAGGCATCTAAGGGAGTTAGGGAATGTAATGGAGTTGAGTGCCTATCTCCCTTAGGATCCTTTGCAAATTCCATTCCAAATGGGGGGGGGGGAGGGGCTAAATTTAGGTTATAAATTTATATCTGATATTGTAACTTTAATGAAAAATCAGAATGCCGAAAACAAACAATCAAACAAAACTACAGAACGTTCACTGAAAGCCATTGATATATTCCAGTTTAGGGGCAAATTTCCCAAAAGTGGCTTCTAATTCTGAATGTTCTAAATTTGAGACCTCAAGATTAATCCATCTGTGAAAGAAACTGTTGGTCAGAACTGGGAACCTGATCATTTTTTCTGAAGGTGTTTTAGAAACTGGGGATACCCTAATTTTGCCATATTTGTGGGGACTGTGGTCTGTTACACTGGTCTACAATTTTTGAGAAGTCCTCTGCTTCAGAGATAAAATGTGCTATTTATTATGTATTTTGATGTATTGAATTCAAATATGACAATTAAAACTGATTAGCTACTGTTTCTAAGATATTTAAGTTTTTACATTTTATGTCTATGTATATTGTGTAGATAGTAGAGTTTTAATCATAAATTGTAAACCTAGGTCTTCATGTGT